TGTGGTTTAAGAGGGAGGGTGTTAGCAATAATGAGGCTCTTGTTATTATGAATTTAAAGAAATTGGCAATCCACCATGACGAAATATGTGAGACACTTTTTCACACAACTGTAAATGACAAACAAGTTATTACCTGCACCACACCAATCTACTTATTTATCAAGGTGTGCGCGACCTTTTAACATGCCGCGTGTTAAACCCGACCGTTTTAAGAATATCTTTAATTATTATCTTTTTTTGCCCTATAGGGGCTAGAGTTTTCAAATTTCGTCTTTCGATAACCTTTTTAGCGTCCTGTTTGCCTTTTTATTCTTTTAATTAAGATAGATTAGTTAACGATCTTTATCTATTCAGTTTCAAACTGCCATGTATTTATGAATTAATAATAAACTTCAAACTAATTAAAATATTTAAGATCCAATTTCATTTAAGTGCCCCTGAGACGAAAATTGACTATTTTATTTTGGCCTAAATTGTTTACTCAATGTTGAATTGAGTCAAGTTAAGACCCTTTTTGCCATTAAAAAATCAAAACAAACCTTCGATGACCAATTTTTACCGCTTCAAAGTCGTCCAAAAATCGTCCGCCATTGCTGAAAACATGTTCCAGCCGAGCCCGCAAAAACGTCATCATGACGTCAAAGGCTCCACAAACTTATGCTTTGCTTTGTCACAACTCTCTTTGTTCGGTGCACAGAGAATCACACATATTACCTTTTTGAGAACTGTTTCGTTGTCAGTCGGGAAATGTCGACTTATTCAGACGATGAATTGTCCCAAAAATCCTCTGAAGCTTCTGTGGATAGTTTTGCGCCGACAAACGATGAATTTTTGCCATGCGAATAAAGATAAACAAAGAACGGCACAGACTCCCCATGTGGCTTTTGTGGTCGCATCGCTTTATCGCCTTCGAACTGTATTTTTTCTTGTCGTAAGGGATTTTTTTTTTGTAAGAAATTATCGGGTGGTTAGTAAAACTAGTTTTCGGCAATGGCTAATGTATAACCGAAGGCGGATATTGGGAGTTTGTGAAAGCCATTTCTAAGCCACCAATGTGTTTTCCCCGATGCATTTAGTCAATGATATCATCAACCGGCCTTTCCTACGTGTTTTTTACTATCGGTGCTTTGAGAGGTTTGAACTCTGTTGTTGAGGTGCACTTTGGCCTCTGTTGTTTTTCTGTCTTACTCATGATGACTATTGTTGTGTTGCTTCGGTGAGGTTTAAAGCCGAGTTTGTTTCAACTCTTTTTGAGCCGTGACCTCATTGCGTTACAAAGTATTTTTTGGCTTAGATGCAGTCTGCAAGTATCGCTATGACAATTTTCCAAGTAGTTCTGAGGGGTGATAGAAGACTGAACCGGTGGCGTTCAGTTTGATATGAAACAGAAGTGGTTTATTTTGTCCGTGAAAGGTGTAACGGAGGCACATTCGTCTTGCGAATAAATCTCGCAAAAGTTGGCCTGATTTTAAATTCTTTTGTCACGGGCGTTGTGATGAATTTGAGACCCTTTGATAGCACGCTGACTTGGCTATCAGATGGTTGATAGTTTGACAGGTTTTTTAATAAATTTCATTTTCTAGGCTTTTTGGCTGCAAGCCTAAATTTTAAAGTGTTTTTGTGCTCTGTGTCTTAAGCTGTTTGTTCTGCTTTAGCTGATGTTAAAGCCAGCTTTTTTTTAGAATCAGACTGACACAATTATATTTTTCATCTCTTTTGTATAAAAGTGACCTCTTTGAGGTCAGAAATCTCAATCCTCAATTAAGCTATTTTATTATTCTTATTTACAATGTTCAACAAGTACTTTCCTCTGTGTAAGATATTCTGCCAGAGAGTTGTTAACGGTGGATATTGATCAGCTCATATGTAAAGGTGACAAAATCCGTGGAGGTTCGTAGACTGAGCTTTCCGGCGTCGAGATCGCACTGAGGACGGTTTTTCTTGTCCCTTCTCTTCTTGAACGGTAGGCACTGAACCCGACAGAATTCTTGCCTTAGATCCTTCAAAGTACACAGATCTCTCGAAACAGTCCTCCGAGAAGTGTTTGGAGTAGATCACAAATATTTCTGTAGGATTGAAGTTTGCTCGGCGAGGTCGCACAAATCGCATCCGTTTTTCCTGCTCTGGTCTATTTGCAAGGCTCCGATGCAGAGAAATACCTGCAGCATGTCTGCACGATTACTTCAGCTTTGAATTACGCATTGGTGCCCAGTCATTTTTGTTTAGTTTTTGTAAGAATAGAGTAAAGCACTCTGTTATGTTTGCTTGACATTTTGCCATGTGAGATTTTCGCGTTGAGCCTTTGACGTCACTTCCTCTGAGTCCTGCGATCAACTTCCGGAACATGATCAAATAATGGCGGACGCGAAATCGTGAATTTAACGGCCCGAAAAAAGATATTTCTGGTGCTCGGTCTAAACTGAAATTTGGCAGAGTAGGTGAAGGAGACACACTGAACACGAAAATGGAAAAAAATGATGTACGAAAATTTTGATCTCAGGGGCACTTTAAAGGAAATTAATATTAT